GAAATCAAGAGTTGGACACCCAACTGACTAAGCCACCCAGGTGCCCTTACTGTTAGAGTGATTCTGATGTTATGTTGTATGTATCATAGGACTCAGTAAATGAATAGATTTATTGATGTTTTTGTAACCTTGATTTGCAGTGACTGGGAAGGACAATCTGAAATGTGGGAAGGAGATGAAAGTCCAACTCTAACTGAAGTTAGAGATAATCTGTATACATTTATTCTTTCTTTTTTAAAAATTTAAATCCAATTAATTAACATATAATGTATTATTGGTTTCAGAGGTAGAGATCAATGACTCATCAGTCTCATATAATACCTAGTGCCCATTACATCACATGCCCTCCCCAGTGTCCATCACCCAGTTACTCCATCCCCCCACCCCCTCCCTTCTAGCAACTCTCAGTTTGTTTCCTATGATTAGGAGTCTCTTATGGTTTGTTTCCCTCTATGGTTTCATCTTGTTTTATTTTTTCCTCTTTTCCCCTATGATCCGCTGTTTTGTTTCTTAAATTCCACATATCAGTGAGATCATATGATAATTGTCTTTCTTTGATTGACTTATTTTGCTTAGCATAATACCCTCTGGTTCCATCGACGTCGTTGCAAATGACAAGATTTCTTTTTTTTTTTTTGATGGCTGAGTAGTACTCTATTGTGTGTGTGTGTATAGACATATACACATGCAGATATATATATATATATATATATATATCTCCATTCTTTATCCATTCCCTGTCAATGGCCATCTGGGCTCTTTCCATAGTTTGGCTATTGTGGACATTGCTGCTCTAAACATTGGGGTGCAGGTGCCCCTTTGGATCACTACATTTGTATCTTTGGTGTATACATTTTTTAAAAACAAAACTGTACTTCCTAGCTATGTGCACTGAGTAAGCTTGGACATAATGACACTCCAGCAGCAATGAACACCCCTACCACCTAGATCTTGGTTTCTAAATAAAATCCCCCAACAACTGGAACCTTGAAGAAATGGCTAATTGCATGGCTGAAAAAGGAAAAATATAAGATTTGTTGGAATAGCTTGTTTCATAAAGCTAAAAGGTACTTAAAAAAACAGATGGTGAAACAGGAGGCCATGTGAAGGGGTCTTGCTGACCAAATCCATAATTACTTGAGCATCAAAATGAATAATGACTTGAATGGATTATAATACCCTGATTAATGAAAGAATCCATAAATCCATTTTATATTAAAAAGACAAAACTTTTATCTTTTATATTAAAAAGATAAAAAGAGTGGGATAGAGACAAGAATTTTTTTTAATGGGAGAGTGCCAACTAACAATATTAGAAGGAATGAGATATATATGTCTATTTTTTTAATTTTATTTATTTGACAGAGAGAGACACAGCAAGAGAGGGGACACAAGCAGGGGCAGAGGGAGAGGGAGAACTGGACTCCCCACTAAGGAGCCCGATGTGGGACTCGATCCCAGGACCCTGGGATCATGACCTGAGCCGAAGGCAGACACTTAATCGACTGAGCCACCCAGGCGCCCATGAGAGATATTTTTAAATCACCATTTTATAGTCACCCTGGTAATAATCAATTCAGGCAAGAATCATCAGTGGCTGAGAAAACCATGGAGTATAAGAATAGTCACATAGTATCACAATATCTCCTTACAAATAACTTATAAATCACATGACGGAAGGCACCTTTCCAAGGGAGAAATGAGGCAGACACACTTTAACCAAATTGCCAAATTTAATGTCACCTAAGTAGGGTATTTACCAACATCACATGTATCCCCCAGTGGAATAAATCAAGGACACAACATGACCTATTTTGTATTTCTGCCCAAAGAGTTTAACCTGATTCGAACTATAAAGAAATAATTGGGACAAATCCAAATTGAAGTGCACATACACAAAAAGCCAGCCTAAAGTTTTCAGTGACACAAAAGAACAAACCAACCAAAGGCTAAAGAACTGTTCTAGATTAAAAGAGGTGGAAAAGGCAGGGCAAGTAAATGCAATATGTGGTCTTCAGTAAATCTAATAATTAATGACTGAAAACATGAACAAAATAATAAAAAGTCAATTAACTTATCACATTAAATTTAAAGGAGTCAATCACAATCATCTCAATAAGTGCAGAAAAAGTATTAGATAAAATCAATATCCACTCATGATTTTTTAAAAACCTCTTAACAAATTAGTAATAAAATAGATCTTCTTACTCTCATAAAGAGTATCTACAGAAAAGCCTATGGCAGACACTATATGTACTGACAAAACATTAAACACTTTCTTTTTGAACTTGGGAATAAGCATCACTTCCATGAAAAATTGTAGTGGAACTGGCACAGGAAGGCAAAAGAAAGAAAAAGTATGTAGATTGAAAAGAGAGCAACAAAACGGTCATTATTGGCAGGACTGAGTATAGAGAAAATCCAAAAGAATATACAGATAACTTATTAAAATTATAAGAATTTAATTGGGTTCAAAATTAATATATACAAATCAATTCTGTATACCAATAATCATTTTCGAAATAAAAATTTAAAAATGTACCTATCATACAACAAAATATCATATGCCTAAGAATAAATTAAACCAAATGTGTGCAAGACCTCACCAAAGAAACTATAAAACTTTGAGAAGTATTAAAGAAGATAGATCTAAACATGTTCTTGGTTTGGAAGGCTCAGTATTGTAAAGATGTATGCTTTCCCCAACTTGATTCATGGAATTCAAAGCAATTTCAATCAAAATCCCAGCAGGTTTTTTGGGGGTAGAAAGTGACAGAAAGTAAAATTTATATGGAAGTTCAAAGTCATTTCTAAGAAGAAAAAACAAAGACCTGTTTTCCCAAATAATAGAACTTACTATAAAGCTGTAGAATTAAGACAATGTGGGCGCCTGGGTGGCTCAGTTGTTAAGCGTCTGCCTTCAGTTCGGGTCATGATCCCAGGGTCCTAGGATCGAGCCCTGCGTCGGGCTCCCTGCTCAGTGGGAAGCCTGCTTCTCCCTCTCCCACTCCCCCTGCTTGTGTTCCTGCTCTGGCTATCTCTCTCTCTGTCAAATAAATAAATAAAAATCTTAAAAAAAAAAAGAATTAAGACAACATGCTCAATAGCACAGGGGTGGACAAATGGACGAGACGAATAAAGCCAAGTTTTGAAACAGATACAAGCACATCCAAGCCCTTTATATAGAAACAGATGGGGCTCTTCTCAGCGGTAAGGAAACAATGGACTTCTCCATAAATGGTGCTGGGACAGCTACATATTTTCATGGGAAAAAAAACTGTAATACTGGGTTCCTTTCTTCTACTGGTCACAAAAACTAACCCCAGATGTACTAAAGACCCAAATGAGAAAAGCAAATTTATGAAGTTTTAGAAGGAAATATAGGTAATATCATTATGACTGTAAGGTAGGAAAGGAGTTCTTAAATAAGACACAAAGGGTACAAACCATGAAGGAAAAGATAAAAACCTTCTAGTAAAAGGTGAAAGATTTATGTGATCTGAAGAGAAACCAGAGTAGAAGATTAAAAACTTTAGAAATAGAGAGATTGAATACCAAACAGACCAACCACCACCCCTACAGCCATCAGCCTAGAACAGTGATTCCAGCTTCCCTACTTTTTGTTCCTGCTTCCAACTCAGGACCAGAGAAAGCCAAATATGTTCCCCAAATGAATCACATAAGATGCCTGGCTTCTCGTTAGCCTGCCTAAGGTTTCCCCATGGCAACAGCCTCCAATCAGAACACACCTGAGGTCTTCCCCTTTACACTATAAGCTTTCCCAATCCCCTGCCTTGAAGTCTCCCGCAAATTTGACTAATGGTGGCTGACTCCCCTGCTTCAGCAATCTAAATCACCTCCATTTGTTCTCATTTGGGTGATCTTCATTTACCTCCCCCAAATTCAGAATTTTGCTCATCTAAAGTTTCCATAAAGAGAGCAGAAAGATAAGTTTCCGAATATATTTGCTGTATACATCGCCCACAAAGAGCAAGTGCACAGCCTGTGTGAAAAACCCCTAAAAATCAATGGGAAGAAAGAAAAACCCATAGAAAAATAGGAAACACGCTTGAACAGGCACTTCACAAAAGAGGAATTCAAATGATCAAACATGAAGAAAAAAAGCGCAGCCTCATTTAGCAATCAGGAAAATACAATCATCCTGTGCATTAAGCATAGCAGGCATTATCATTCTCCCCACCCAGCCCCCCTCTCTGGCCTCGCACTCCACACCCCTACATGTCATGCACCCACTCTCACACACCCCTCCCACCTTGTCCACCCCCAGTCAGAGAGGGTAACAGACTTGGACCAAGATAAGCAGCAAGACTAGTGCTTGGACCCCAGCCAGGCTTCTGGGGGCTTGAGAGCAAGTGTTTTCCACTCTGGGCCCAGGTGTCTCATTTGGAGGGGATGAAAAATCATCTTTATGGCTTTCCAAACAAAGAAGGAAGAGCCGGGGTCAGGAGAAGAGAGGCAGAGAGGAATGTGGCAGAAGCACACTCTTCTCGGAGTTGTTAGCTCAGGAGGAATACAAAGCTCTGACTGGTAGCCCACCCATTCAGTCAGGGTCAGTAGCACTAAAGAATGTAGGCCATCCTTTGGAGTTCATTATCCTAAAGCCTGCCTTCCTGGGTCCTTCTAGCAAAAACAAAGCCCATAAATAGTAGTATCCCCATTTTAGGGATGAGATGAAATCAAGGTCCAGGGAGATAGAACTTGCCCGAGGCCACACAGCACAGAGAACTAGAACCCAGGTCTTCGTGCCTCCCTGCACCACACGGCTATTGCCCATCAGCTCTCCTCACCTAGCCCTAGACCTGCCTCTTGCCCTACAGCCATGGGCACTTGAACCTCAGCATTCCAGCCTGCCTGCATCTAACCTATGTGTTCTGGGCTCATGAGAAAGATCTATTCCTCTCTCAAGCTCTGTGCCTAAGCAACACGGGACACCCGCAGGCTGACCCACAGGTTGCCCTCTGAGCCAAAGGCAGACTTACCTCGCCCCAGAAGCAAGAGCAGCCCCAGGAGGAAGATACGTGGCTGCAGGCCCATGCCAGAATCCTCCTGATGGCCCAGCCCTGGACAAATCACTTGCGCAGATGGAGGCTGCCACTCGTCCTCGTGCTTTTATGCTCCTGTGGTCTGATAGTGCGCCTGTCATAAATTTTACTGTGTTCACCTTTGAAAGGGGGCAGTGGCTGGCTGTAAATGATAAGTATTAACATTTAGGCAGAAGATTTCTCAAAGTAGATAGGTCAAAGATGGGTAGCATGTTCTAGACAAAGGCGCCAAAAGACTAGGACCACATAGTCCCCTTCAAATGGCTTCCCAGGATCGTGGACGTACAAAAATCGCCAGTATCGGGGCTCTGGCCTGCTGAGAGGAGCTTGGGATTGGAAATACAGGGCTGGAATCCCATATTGACAATAGCTGTGAGATCTTGGGTGAGTCCCTTTATGGGCCTTAGCTTCTCAGCTGTAAGCTATGGAAATAAAAGCCATAAATGGAGTGAAAGTACTTTGTAACAACTGTACACCATAAAGCCCCCTCCGAATGTGATTTCTTGGTGTGAAATGTCTTCCCCCGGTGTCTGAGGAGCACAGCTGGGCTCCCTGGTCTGCATGATCCAAAAAGGTTTGTTTCTGGCCCCGCCTCCAAAGCCATGGGTTGTGGGAGTGCTGGACTGATGTGCATGCCACACATTGATTGTCTGCATGTTGAGTTGAGAGATCCAAGCCAGAGAGGTGAGCCACTGGAACTCATTTGACAGAATTAGCATTTTGCTTCCGGCAATCGAAGTTGAAATGCGGGGCAGGGTCTAAACTGAGCAGTCAGAGTTGGAATTTAAAGCCTGGGTGCCAAAATGCATTGGGGGTGAATTTCAAATATTTTCCACAAATATCAAGTAACATTTGACTTTGGGTAAATATGGACAAATATATTTAAATCATCCTTACATTTTGGCCACTGTTAGGCAGAAAGGCTGAAAGCCAGACTTCGGAGCTCCAGCTAGGAGTCTGGAGCTGGTTTCTATTGTTCAACCTCAGGTCTTGATCTGCTGACATTTTTTCAGTATGTTTCAAATCACAGTTATAGGTTGGTTGTCTTGAGTATAAAGTGAGATCTAAGTGGGCGGCCCTTTGTTCCTGGCTCTGTGACATTAAAATGTTGTCTTCCTTTCTCATCTGCTCAATAAAATGTGACTTGTGGGTAACCACTGATTTAGCCATGCCAAAGCCTCAGCCTCAGAGCTGCACGGAGGGCTTGGGTCACACCAGGCATGGGTGGGCACTGCTACAATGGGCCCAGCTGACTATGGGCTGGTTCCAGAGCCTGGAAGAGAGCAATACATACAGAGAAGGAAGAAGAAAATATACCCAAGGAGGGGCTTGCAAGGGCCATTTAGGCATAAATGCTCCTGAACATCAGACACGTGTTATCTTCACCAACTGCCCACAAGTTCAACAAGAAACCCAAAGCTCAAAGCTACTGTCCCATTACTAAGGATGGCAGGAGTCCCTCCATGCCACCAGCAGCTTTGAGGAGCATCCCTAAACCTACTTGGATTGAATGAAAGGTCACTGGTCTCCACTCAGCTGGGGCCAGTTAGAGGTAGGGTGGGACACATCATGGGAAATGGGCAGAAATAGCCTGGCTTTATAATCCATGCATTTGCTTCTACCTCTTAATACTTCTCTGCACAACCCCCATGGCCAAGCTGGGTTAGCAAACACACCAACCTCTAACCTCTTCTATATTTAGAAACATTGAGAAATGACTTAAAAATACTTCCAAGCTTTGTGAGGCATTTTGGTATAGGACAGACTTAGGTAAAAGAAATCTTGGAATCCTGTCAACACATCAAGGAATCCTCATCAGCTGAGAGGCAGTGGGGGAATAACAACTCTTGGGCACTCTTACCAGGCACTGTGGGTGCTCTTCACATGCATCAGCTTAATTAGCAGAGTATCTATGTGATCTGTTAGCAGCTGTGAAAACACAAGGGCCAGTACTCAACAAGCTCCATCACTTTTTTTTTTTTAAGATTTTATTTATTTATTTGACAGAGACAGAGACAGCGAGAGCAGGAACACAAGCAGGGGGAGTGGGAGAGGGAGAAGCAGGCTTCCTGCTGAGCCGGGAGCCCGATGTGGGACTCGATCCCAGGACCCTGGGATCACAAGCTCCATCACTTTTTAATAAAATTTTCTCCTCCAAGTTTTGCTACTAAAATGTCCTAAGAAGACATATCCCAGGAGGGAAGATGCTCCATTTCAAATGTTAGCAACAATCAGCAGATGTTCCTTTTGGGAAAGGCATGGGCCCATGGATTCAAATCTTCCTGGAGGGTGTCAGTCCATGCCTCCCTCAGAGGGCATCTTGGTGACTGAAGGAGCTGAGTGCTTGCTGTTGTCCAAAAATCCACTAGGGGGTGCTAGACCAAGCCTTGGCCACAGGGCCCACGTGGATTACAGCGGCACTGGCCGCTGAAGAGTGTCTTTCAAACTGGGGTTACGATCTATTATTATCCCATTAATTTAATTTGGTGGACTGCACAGTCCATTAAAAAAAATTAAACAGAATAAAAATATCTGAGGGCACTGCATATAGTAAGGGTAATTGATGTTTTGGGAAACGTTTCAGTCATAGGTGGTGATGCAAAATGCATTTCTTAATATGGGTCAGTAAAAAAGAAATCGAAAATCACTCCCTCAGACAGCAGTAGATCAATTCCACAAAGAAATCCCTAGGCTTCAAGAAAAAGAAAACAGGTTTGTTCTTCCCTCTGGTTAAAGATGCAGCTATGCCGAATTCCCTGTGCTAGCAGCTAAAGACAACGCCTGTGATTGGCTCCGTGACTTGGGAAGAAAGTATAAGTCAAACGTTTTAGCAGTTGTGAGAAGACAGTAAGTGAAATTGTTCTTTTTTTCAATAAGGAAAACCTAGCCCCTGACTCCTGGGTGAGTTCTACCAATGTGACAGAAGTATGTGTCAGCAGCCTATCATCTAGGACAGGATGGGTTCCCATCAGTGCCTATTTTACGAAAGACCCACAGCTTGAAGGGGAAGGTACACGCCAGAATTGTGGGAGGGGTGGGACGATCTATCTCAGAATAATCTGCACTTGTTCCAGTGATGCCCTGAGAATTGTCCGCCCCACATGATGGCTTTTCTGAAGTACCTACTTGCCCTCACCATGATAGCCTTGTTATCACTCACTCCTTCTGTGTGGAAATAGTCCTATATCCCTGGTGGGCTTCCTGAGAGAGAGGCTGGGCCTTTTGCTTCTTGCCATTTGGGCACCTCCAGAACCCCTCCCTACTGGAGCACCTAGCTCAACGTCCTACATAAGAGGGCCTCACCAAATCTTCATTCATTGGTTGAGTATTCTTCAGAGGTAAGACAACTGGTTTAACCAAGCCTGTGTTCTCCAAGACTTTTCCCAGTCACAGAAGTACAAGGAGGCTTGGCTTAGGAATCTCTAAACACAAACATCATCCAGATGCCAGTGTTCCTGTGTTTACACAACACAAAACCTGTGTGTACACACACATGTAAAACATTGTCCAATGCAAGTAACTGAGCTTATTTAGCTTCCTTTGGGCAGAGGCTTTACTTATAATCAAACAAGAAGTTTAATTAAGGAGTAAAAAGTAACAGATAAAATTGAGAAGGGACCAGTAACGTATGTCTAAAAGAAATACCATTTTCAAATATCCCAGAACATACACTCCACAAGACCTGGCCTTCTTGTTCTTTGCTATATCCCAGCAGCTAGTACATTGCCTGTGGTAGCAGGCATTCACCGGATGTTGGATGAATAAATAAATGAAAAGCAGAATACAAAGGAAGACACTAAGACTATAAAAAGATCAGCTCAATAGAACAGAATAGAAAAGATGAAAGGGGTAAAAATCATGTTTTAGGATAGAAAACTGAGGAAAAAGAGAGGCACGTGGCCCCAGTACCATGAAGCGTGATGGGAAAAAACAATGGAGAAGCAACATGGAGGCTCACAGCTAGTGGCTCTTCTTCAATAACACTGTTATTCGCCTGTGTAATGGTTCTCCATCCTGGCTGCAGATTGGAATCACCTGGGAAGATTTTAAGACAAATACCTCTACCTGTGCTTCACCTACAGACATTCTGAATTAATTGGTCTCGGGTAGGACTTGGTCATTGGTCATTTTTAAAATTCACTGATGGATTCTGATGTGCAGCCAGGGCTTAGGGCTTCTGCTCAGTGGAGCCAGGGCTGCCTGGTGCCCAGCACTGAAGGATGGAGAGGACTCCGTCTCTGCTGCTGCAGACAACGCAGTGGTCCACAGGACACAGCCTAATGCCTCAAAAGTCTACTGAAAAAGTCGGACTGACTGGGTGGCCTTTCCAGAGAGGAATCCCATAGGAATGTGGGAGGGAGGGAGCACTGGGACTTATCCTCAGAGGTCAGGGAGTAGATTGGGAAAAGGCCAGATTCTGGTGCCTGGAGACGCTCAGTCACCAAGCACCAGGATATGTGGGCCAAAGTTCTGGGTCAACCATATGACTCATTATCATCTACAGCCATTTCCTATTCCTCATGTGTTAGTTTCCTGATCTGTGAGTTTGACACATAAATTCCATTCACTGATGTGCAGTGTGAAGAACAGGGCCATGGAGGGTGGGGAAAGGGTAAGATGAGCTGTTTACCACAAGCATACGGGGTATTCCCCCTCTTGCACCAGCCATTACTGCAGAAATGGGGAGCTCCCCATTCACAGATGGGGAGCTCACAGCTTGAGCCCTGACATCCTCTAAGTCAACAGCTACACTTCCTATTGCCCACTCTCTCTCCTCTCCCTTCCACCATCTCCAGACTCAGGCCCCTAGTTGTTCCCAAACTTTATGTCTCCCAGCACATGGATGATAGTGATATGCACACAGAGTGAACAGACAGGGCAATTTGTGGCCTGAGATGATCAGCCGGGGGTCTGGGACAGCCCCCAAGCCCTGCCCCTGGTGGGTCCCTAGGGGGATCAATGTCTTTGCCCATCTGTACCCCTTAGTGCTTTTACCTCCAAGTGAAGACTTAAATAGCATTTGGTGAGCACCTACTAGGTGCCAGGCACCTTGCTAATCAAACTCA